CACGTTTTCTTTATTTTGTACATCAGGAAGGAGGGCTAGGGAAGGGTAAGTGGAAGGAGGTGAGGGAGGAATGGGGTACGCGCCCCTGATGGGGAGGACTGGCCTGGTTCTGCGGGCTTCTCAGGGTGGAAGCTCTCCTGCAGCCCCCCAATTGCTCCCTCACCCCGGATGGCAGTCTGTGGCAAGTGCAGCCGGGGGTGATGGCCGAGTGCTGTGATGTTCCGCGTGTGGGCACTCAGGGCACTCCAAGCCAGGACTGCTTCGCAAGCGGGGAACCCTGAGAACTGTCTGTCCGGGGTGGGGGTCGGGTCCCTTTAAGCACAGCCCTTGGCTAGCCTGAGACACCAGCTCCACGCTCTAAGTCCTCATCTGATGTCCTGCCAGCACTGCTTCCGGCCAGCCTTAACCCCAGTTCAGGGTCCACTCTGTGTGGACATGCTAGTTCAAATTAGCAAAACACTAATTCGAACTAGTTTTTAAGTCTAGATGCGCTAATTCGAATTAGCTTAGTTCGAATTAGCGCTGTAGTGTAGACATACCCTGGGTGATTGATGTTTCTTGAGGCAAGCTCCTGTCAAGCAAACTCATCAGTCAGCTACTGGTGGGAACTTTCAGGCCTTATGTCTACTCCTGGGTACTTTGGCTGGGTGTAACTTTAGGCTTTGTAATGTTGCCTGGCTAGTTCTCTCTTTGATGGAATCAGCACTCCATACATGTCCTCTCTGCAGACATTCCTATGCCTCCTAGTCACTACAGATGACTCATAGGGGCAGATTACCCTGGGCCCTGGTGTGTCACTGGGAGAGGAAGCCAGGAATCTTTACCTTTCTTGCCATGCCCTTAGTTTAGAGCTGGCACAGTGCCAATTCCTGTGTAGAGGAAACACTCAGTGATAGTGTTTCTTGGAGCAAGTTCTGGCTAGCCGAGTAGGGGCGTGTATGCTGCACCGCCCTAACGGCCACTGCACAATATTTTCTTGAGTTTCTTCTGGTGTGGGGCAGTGCTGTTGTGGGACAATCTGGGCCAGAAATTTAGCATTTAAATCGTGCAGACTTTACCATTACCTCCATATTACCTTGATTTTCACAGCACCCATGATGAGGCATGTAGCTGAGTGGTGGCATCTGTATTTTACGGATAAGGAAACTGAGTCAGGGATATTTGCTATGTTGTGCAAGTTATATATGGCAAGTTAGTATTTGGAATACAGGCCACCTAGCTACTAGCCTCAAGCCCTAATCCTTTGCCATTGCCGTCTGCTACATATGTGTGTTATAGAGCTATAACTGTGTCTTATGGAGCATGGTTACATCACATGACCTCTCTGTTCTGTTTTCAAGTCATGGTATTGTACACCCCCTTGCAGTGACACTCAGAGGTGGTCCCCATTTTGAAAGGTGAACTTGCATGTGTGTGTCTGTGTGTGGGTAGAACTAGTGATGCCATCTAGTGGTTGGTGAGAAACAATCACACATTAATTGATTCAGAAGTGCTCCTTGGCCAGTGACTTAGTGGGGTGAAAACCAGTGAGGGTGAAGTGGCTCCCAAATTAGATTTGATTCACTGTATGTGTTTCTCCTGAACTGGGTACCTGCTCTTGTGGTTAAAATCTCTTTCGGTATCTTCTTTTCCCACACCATACCCATAGCGCTGAAACAAATCGAGATTTAGTCAGTCCTGTATTAACTCCTACTGCAATATTGGACCTGTGTCTAATGCAAGAGGCAGGAAAGATAGTTGTCCTAGCTAGAGCACAAGGCATATGTGCCTGCAAGCCTCAGAAGCAAGAATCTTCTTTCCAAATGACAGTCTGAGTAATGTGATCAATGGGCTGATGGCTCCATTAGTGTAAATACCGGTGGAGTCAATCATACTGTGTCTCCTTGTAAAAGGAGAATCTTCTGGCTAAAGGATAGGGCTTGGAATCTGGAGCTCTGGGTTATATTTCTCATTCCGTCACTAATTCACTTTGCAATATTGAAAATCCTGCAACTCTTTGGTGTCTGTTTCTGCAGTTATTACATGGGGATGACCATGCTTTCCTTTCTCCCCAGGTGCTAATGTGTGTAAAGCGATGTAGATCCGTACCTGGAGGGCATTATATAATAGAACTATATTGTTTTAGGGATAGCTTATGGCATATAGCCAAAAGGCTGTAGCGGGAGCAATGCTGAACTGCACCTCCTGCAGTGGAAGTGCAGAGAGGCCATGCTGGAGGAGTGTACAAGCAGCACCATCCCTTAGGTGGCAAAGTCTACTCCCCCGGCATACCTGGTCAATCATAGCATTGATTTGGGAGATAGAAGGTGTGAAGAGTGGCTCAGCAGCTGGGGAGTGTGTGGATGCCACTTGACTGGGGTCCCAGGACTTTGTGAGCGGTAGATTCAGACCCTGACTTGTCATGTAGTAACTCCTCCATGTAGACAAGCCCTTCTACTGGAAATAAGGTGAGAGAGTGACAGAGGCGTGGCTTCAATGAAAGCGAATGCAGTTTGAGCATGGCCACAACCGCTGCTCCTTGGTGGTGATCTAGAATGGAAGGGAAGGTATGACACTAAGTTGGATGTGTGCTTAGTGGGAGCATAAAGACAGCAAGCATGTTTGGTATTTCCCAACTAGCTACCATAGGGTAACCATGAGGGCATATCTGAAAGATAAGGAGGCAAGTACTTTGTGCAACCACAAATTAAAATACATTATCTGGCTAGGATGTACCGGTCATGCAAAGCTTTGTTAGAGTATTAAAATAACGTGGGATGCATTTTCAGAACAAAAATCCTCCTCCGTGTATTTTGCTGGTGTCACAGGAGTAGAGATCTGCACAGTTAACATGCCATTTAGATAGCAGATTGAAATTCTGAACTCCTCCATACACATTGGTACAGCACTTCACATTGCTTCTCAGTTCCACTGCCTCCTTACTGCAATTCAGTTGCATAACTTACACATGCTTCATCAGCCTTACACCACCGAATTTAAAAATGGCTCACTGTATTGGAGTAAAAGCAGCTTATTCTTCTGTAAAATAGTCTGTGAAGTGGGAGGGTGTTATGACTAGTTTTGCCATGCAATCCGTTAGCTTTCTTGGATGATAATCCTGGATGTTTTACAGTACGTATCCTATTCTGCTCTGGTGTAAATGGTGTTTCGCTTGCTTAGGCCGCAGCAGAAGTTTATCCAGTTCTGGTACAGTCACATTATCTTGTAGGAGGAAGACATATTTGTGTGGTTGATTTATTCCTATAATGAAAATGCAGTATTTCATTTCATTAATATGAGGAGGAGGGATGTGATTTTTATACTGTACCACTACATCTTCTTTATAAACGTAAGCTCTCAGAAACTACTGGTCTGCATCATGCCCTAAAAAGGTCATATGTAGACAAGGCGACCCTTAGTGCACATCAGTGTTCCCTTAATATTATTCAGCACATGGATGAAAAGATTAATGTGCACGACCAACAGGAAAACAACTGTGCTGTTGCAAGCCGCTTTTTTTTTTTTGAGGGTTGTTGTTTTTTTGAGATTTTATGATCTGCAAATAACTTTCTTTTCTGTGACATAGGATATACTCATATGAAAAGAGATTTTTTGGGGGGCTGAGTCCTACCAGCAGCCCTGTGGTTTCACAAACTGGGTTTGAGAGACCACAGAATATCCCCTCTCACACATAGTCATGGGGGGGAGGAGAGGGATGGTTGTCAGTCTAGAAGAGAATGTAGCCAGAGAGCGTCTTGTGGTTGACCCATGACACTTAGCAAGGTGCAGTCCTTTGTGAGGTGAGGGGGAAACCCTTGCCTGCCTGGTCTAACGGTATCGGAGAGATCTGTTGAAGCTACAGTCAACAGGAAACCAAGTGCTATTCAAAGGTATTCAGTCTGTCTCTTTCTCTTTTGCTTGATTTATTAACTCTTCCCACCCAGCTGCCCACTTCTATTGATTAATGGCAGATAGACTGAGCTGTTGATTCAGGAAGGTTTACTGCTTGGCTGAATGATCTATGATACATGATGCAAACTTTCTCTCTTTGTGTGCAGAGGGCAGATGGGACTTGTAACACAAACTTCAAAACGACTAAGACACGGGAGCAAGTTTACCAGGTTTTCATGGAATTCATTGAGGGCAACATCACTATTCTGGTGAGTTTTTAGTAATACTTGTGTCTGATCTATTCAGATCACTTTATGACATGTGACCTGTAACATCCAAAGAAGAAAATCCAGAGGGTAGGAGTAGGGAATCAGTGTGTTATGGATAATGCTTGGCAGATTATCATCCATCAATGTTTGTGATTTGGCTGGGGCTGTGTATTTTCAATGCAGACACTTTGAGTTAGCAAACAGTAGTTTGCCCTGGGCCTCAGAGCATGGTGACTGCCTCGTGATGTGTCATGACTCTGGCACAACAGAGGGGCATTGGTGTCTGAACACAGGGCATGATAACAAGACACTTTGTGAATCTGAAGTTTAATCTAGTGATGATAAAGCCAAGGCGTGGGCGCACGAGGGAGGTTGGTAGTGCATTGTGCTGCCATGTGTGAGATTTTGCTTGAAAAGCATCTTCTGTACTCCCACACCCTGATCCGTGCACTGATCATATTAACTCCTTCCCTGCTGGCCTCTGCTGTGGCTCCATGGGCAGTATAACAGGTCTCATGATTTCAAAGGCTGCTATCTCAGCCTCCGTATGACGAGGGGTAATCTCAGGGGAACATCAGTACTTGAAAGACAATGTACCAGGTAACACAGAACAGGCATTTGGGGATGTCATGTAGTGTGGGAAAGTCACCAGGCCCAGCACCTCCATCCGCAGCCAGACGTGACTCTCAGCCAGCAAGTAGAACAGACAGTTTATTCATTGACAGGGACACAGTGTAGCACAGACGTGTTACAGGAGCCACAAGCATTCAGTACAATCCATTTTGAGGGTAAGGGAGCTCAGAGTCAGGGCTCTGGGCCCCTGTCCGGCCCCACAAGCCGGATAGATGACTCCCTTCTCCCTAAGCCAGCTGGAAACTAAACTCACACCCCCAGCCACTGGTCACAGCCCTCCAGGCTGACACACCTCCTCCCTTGTCCTGCCCAGGTGTTATCTGACCATCACTGGTTACATTTCCCCTAAGATCAGGTGACAGGAGTCCTGGGCCGTTCCCTAGGTGCCTTCCCTCAGGAGTCCTCACTCAAAGATCCCATCCTCCGCTGGGCACTGCACACCCGCACTGCATCACTACAGAGCAGCACAGGACAGTAGGAATCACATGCAGTGCAACAAAGCAGCCCGAGTGAATACAGTGACCACCAGAGTGAATACAATCCCCACTACGTCATAGGGGACCATTCTCCCCACACCTAACAGAAGTGCCCGACAGTGGGAAACCTATTTGATAGAATGTGGGCCAAAGATGGGGCCTGCCTCTCTTAGATTTCCCATTGTGAGGAGTGAGAGGGGTTGTCAGAACATATCCATTCCTCTGTCTGAAGTGAGGGGTGCTGAAGCCTTAAGATCCTTGTTCTGCAGCCAGAGGACATGCCACTTCTTCGAGAGCCAGGAGGCTGAGTTTGCTGGGATGTGTGAAGCCAATGCCCAGAAGTTCTTGCCTCATGCCACCCTACTGTGTTGATTGAGAACAAGCAGGTTACTGAAATAAAACAGGTGTTGGACTGTGAGCCTGAAGTGTGTGTCATAGAATGAAAAGTCTCTCCCCGTTATAACAATCATTACAAGTCAAGTATCCCCCTCTCTTCTGCTTGAAGACTGGCTCAAGCATTGCAAAGCTGGGAGCCTTTGTAGGGGCACGTACTGAGTGAAAACCTTGCAGTGACTCTATCCCTGGTTGCGACGCTAGGGATGTCAGTGAAGTTGCACCAGAGATTGATTTTGTTCTTTCTTAATGCTTTCCCTCCCTTCAAACACCTTCAAATGTGTTTTTTGTATTTTTCCCCCCCATTTCAGAAAAAATACCTCAGGCGTCTGCATGACATCCACCTCATCCTCGAGTCCTCAGACTTCTTTAAACGGCATGAGGTGAGCTGTGGATGAGCGCGTAGGGGCAGGGTGCAGTGCTGCCTGTGTGTGGACTCCTTGCTGCCTCAGCGTGCCATTCAGAATTGTCAGTTGGTGAGAGAAGGGTGCCAGGGGTGACTAGCACAGAATTAATACACGTTAACCCCACGTGAGCCGCCAGGTTTCCTTCCCAAGAGTGGAGAACTCTGCTCTAGCTGAGAGGTAACACATCTTCCAGTCCCAGCTTCCCCCAGCAGGCATTCACTGTAAGGAATGGCTATATGAATGCTGGCTTCTCACAGCTACTCTCTTTGTGGTTGGTTCCTGAAGGAGCCAGGCATGGGGTGCTGATGCTGTGAGCTCTCTCATTTGGGTCAGGGGTAGCACCTGAGTCTGATACCAAAATAACAACATCAGTGGAGTCCTTGCTGATTTTCAGCAGTGTCAGTAAGTCCTCTGGTTTCTCCTAGCAGGTGCAGCTGTAATGTCACTAATAGCTACACGGCATTATTGATGAAATTATTGTACTGCAAGCTATGAGATTTATGGGTGTGCAGATTTGAGCCAGATCTAGGAATTTCACTATGTGACGCCATCAAGCGTTGTCTGGCCCTTAGCACACTAGGGGCATGTCTAGACTATGGGGTTTTGGGGGGTTTTTTTTTTTGAAAGGGGATATGCAAATGTGCTAATTTTTTGCATATTTTCTTCCAGTCACATTTTCAAAGTGGGTCTTTTGAAAGTGAAAGTAGTCTGGACACAGGGTTTTTTTTGGGAAAAAACCCTTTTCCGAAAAACCACATAAACCTCCTTTTTTAAACCTCCATGGAATTTGCATAGTCTCTTTCGAAAATAAAATGTAGTCTAGATGTACCCTCTTATGAGGCCACATAGGCTGCAGTTGGACATCAATCGGAAAAAGCTATGCAAATTAGCACCAAATTTGCATATCTCCTTTTGGGGGAAAAAAACCATAATCTAGGCATGCCCTAGGTATGTTGGAAGCTTTGCGATCTGGTCATTTATTTTACACTGGTCTGCTGGCAAGAATTTTGTTAATCAGTAAGTAAGTGGCTTGGGACACGATCTCTCTCCAGGCATCATGTCTCCCCCCAAATAAAGCTACATAGACTGTCAGTGAGTCACCTCTGTGCCCTTTGTCTGCGGCAGTCCTGTCCCTTGGTGCCCATATTCAGTGTAATGCAGTCATGTGGAGCAGCTGGCACACTGCTTGTCATTGTAAAGGCTTTGCAGCCCAGCAGTCATCATTTGTCTGTACAAGTATAGGTGATGGGGGGCCTTGCTCAAAGCAGGGAGGTGGGAGGCTGGGGGAGACTTTAATAATGCCTGTTCATATCATCACCAATCTGTACCCTGCAGGTCATTGGAAGTTCACTACTCTTTGTGCATGACGACAGCGGGCATGCCAATGTGTGGCTGATTGATTTTGGAAAGACCACGCTTCTCCCTGATGGGCAGATCTTGGACCACAGGATCCCCTGGCAGGAAGGCAACCGAGAGGATGGGTACCTGCTGGGATTGGACAATTTGATTAGTATCTTAGACAGCATCACAGAAAGATGAGACGAGACTAGCACAAACTCATGGGGCTGCTTTATAACCTTCCATGCTACTGGGACCTCTCTCAGTTAGAGGGGAACTCCTTTAACTTTTTCCAAACTCCTAGAGTTATTGCAGTGCAAATGGAGCTGCTTCAGAGCCAGACTGTTCATGATCAAAGTGACTTCATTGGGCCTTCATTAACCAGAGTGACTCAGGATTGCTCCTCAGTGAATCAGGGTCTCCAAACTCAGGAACCAAACCAGCATGCATCCAGAAGGTTTGTACAGCAAATCAGAGTGACTCTAATTTCAGGTGAACCAAAGTGACTCTAGATTGTCCGTTAGTGAACCAGAATTCTTCAGATTGCTTGGTGGTATTGGGAGGGTTGAGCAAAATTCTCCAGTGGGTGGCATTGCTTTGAAAACAGCAGGAGTGTTTGCTCCCTAACCCCAAGTTCCTAGGCTGCAATTTATGTTATAGATTACACAAGGTCAGCCCCAGCTGTTGTATTACATTACAAGTGTGTGCAAGATGGGAACTTGCCCAAGAACAAGGCCCAGGAAACATGAGGAGAAGGGTGATCATAGTTCATGGCATTGGTTGTTTTTGTGTCTGCAAGGGACAGCTACTGTTGACCTTTTATCTGACTCCCTGCCCTGGCCTATCCTCTTTTCTAAGGAAGTTCTTAACCATTTTCAAGTAGTCTCTAATCAGGATAGTCTGGTAAGTAAATAGCACTAAGTTTTCTCTGGTACCATGTGACTTTCAATCTGGAAATGACATCAGAGAGGCTGGTGAAGTGATAGTGCTGGCTCTTGCAGCTAGACAACATTTGTGCAGGTTGGTGGCATCTTTCTTTAGCCAGTGGGTCGTGGGACAAAGTTTAGTTTTTGAGGACTCAGTTATTGTAGAGAGAAAAACAAATCAATCTGAATACAAGCAAGCCAGTTATCAATATGCAATTTTACACCCTGGCCGAGGCTCTCCCTCTTTTTGCTTGTGTGTCAGATTTCCTGACGGTGATGCTATGTTCTTTTTTTGGGCTATACCTAGGGTGACCATATTTTTCTACACTGACTATGAGACACCTTTGTAAAATTACTTGTATTCAAGTGAGTTCAATGACAATCAGTCATACAAATATTCAAATTAACATGAGTTTGACTGAGCCCGTTTAAAATAAATACTGTGTAGTTCAATTTTTTTATTTACCTTTTTATCCTTAAGGTTTCATGGTTTGAACTAGGGATGTAATAGTGAAGTCGATTAACAGATAAGCAAAAGCCTATAGGTTAATGCTATAGGGCTACACGCATTCCTTCTCCTCCCTCCCACCAGTAAATTTGTTAGTACGCCGGCCAGCAGCCCAGCTTAGTCCCAGCTTGCGCCAGGTCTGGGACTTACCCCTGCTGCGGCTTTGCATTTAAAGTGTATTAGGAGCGAGGCAGGCAGCCCGGCTCAGTTCCAGCTCATGCCAGGTCCAGGAGCTCAGATCCCTCCTCCCCCCTGGACAGGGGCTGCTGCCACCCCGTGCTGCTGCTGCCTCTGTATCAGAGGCACCAGCGCGAGGTGGTAGGCAGCCAGTCCATGAGGGGAGCTGTTTTTTAAACTGGCTCCCCTTTGCAGAACAAGTCCTGCCTGGCACCTCATGCTGCTGCCTCTGTTAGGAGGGAGGTGGGAGCGCACTGGCTGCCAGTCCCACCTCCAGGGATTATAGGAAAGTCAACTAACCCGATAAGAATTCATGAGGTTAATTGATTATTCAGTTAAGAGATATTTAACATCCCTGGTGTGAACGTGCATACTCCCCAACACTTCTCTCACATTGGGGGCGTGACTGACTGATCCAGCCCTTCCTACCTGTCACTCTCTGCCCTTCATACGTGGCTGGGCTGCCAAAACAGACACTTTCCTAGTACCTGGCTCAGTGTCTTCCTGGGGCAACGTGGGCAAGGGAGAATGCAGCATCACCTGTCCTGTCCCCAGATTTCTGGCAGGATTCTCACCAAAATGTGGCCAGTAGCAGCCTGGGAAGGGAAGAGATGGGAGCTGCTGCAGCTACTGGAGAGTAGCGCGGGGTAGAGTAGAAGGGATGATCTGGAACCACACAGTGCCACAAGGCAGCTAACCTCTCCATGCTGCTGCTGGCCACCAGGATAACTCAGTTGCCGCCTGTCCTCTGGCAGGCAGGAAGGAGTTTAAGTCCTAAGGATGCATTGGGCCCCAGGATCTTGACTGCAGGGGCTTCAGTGTAATTTCACCTCCCCTCTTGCTACTACAGAGCTTAGCTGAGGGTCAGAGAGGCTTCCCTGAGCCAGCACAGTGAGGGGCTTTAGCACATTCAGGGTTCCTGGCCAGCTTCCTGGGCCAGAGGGTCTTGGACTTCCCTGGGCACTGGTCTGGTTAGACGCGGTGGGGGAAGGAAGGAGCCTGCTGGCCAGGCAGTTAATGGGCTCAGGGCTCCAATCAGGGGCTGGGTCTCGGAGTAGGTTGTGCCCCACCTGGGGATATGGAGGAGCAAAAGGACTTGGGGGGGGGGGGGGGCAAGCAGAGAGGACAGTGAGAGAGGAAACTGATGGGTGAGCAGAAGAGGTAAAATACCCAGATGCCACCTGCCTGCACTCACCAACCACTGCAGCCAGCTAGAAACGGGTTGGGAACTGGGCCCGACGGGGAGCAGCTGAACCCAAGTGCTGCATTTGCACCCCACCAACAGCCTTGTTCGCTCACCCTCATTGTTGGCCACTGGCCACCCCCATATACACTCACCGCTGGTGAGCAGGCAGCTGGCACGCAGAGGTCCAAACAGTAATGAATGGGGAAGAAAGAAAATAAGGGCCATTGGCCAATTTTTAAGAAAAAATCAGGACACCTGCAAGAGACCTTAAATATGGGACTATCCCTTTAAAAATGGGACATCTGGTCACCCTAGCTATACCCAGTGGATCAGAGCATAAGCAGAGTGGATCAAAAAGGAATGGTGCCCCCATAGACAGCATTACACTGTCGACTAGAACTGTTACAGGCATTTTTCCTTGGAAACATCAGGTATTTACCCCTTTGGAAAGCAGGGTATTACATTAGCTAGCCTAGAGGACTGATTGCTGTGCCATAGGTCCCAACTGGGGCCCATAGGTGATATCACAATACACATTAATATTTCTGTGTCCATCCCATAGCCAGATATTTGACCTTGCAGTTTCCAAGTTGGAGCCATCAGCTATGTAACAAGACCCAGACCATCATTAAAAGCACTTGCTTTTATATGTTAAAATGTGTTTAAGCAACACCAGTTGATCAGAAATTACAGTATTTTGCCAATACAACCATAGTCAAAAGAAACTTCAGAAACTTTTGAATAGCTGAAAGTAGTTCCTTGCTTCAGTAGAGAATCACTACACCAGTGATCACTGCAAAATGGAGTAAATGAGACTACAATTCTTGTTTGGAGCAAAATGTATTAGGGTTGAGGAGCCTACGACAACTTCTGGGAACCTCCTTTGGTTCGTGTACTATAGTTGGAGCCCAGGCAATCTTAATAACCTCAGTTATTTTTCAGCTACTTTAAAGAAAGCATTAATGTTAATAGCGATAACCATGCCAATAATGACGACAGAGAAAGCAATTGAAATAGAGCAGTGTGAATACTTTACATCAAAACTGAAATTGTTTGACATCTGAAATTGTACATTTCATTGCAAGTTCAAAACGTGCCCTTTGTGAAATGTGGGATTTATATTCAGTGAAAATGGTCCTGTTTTTTTAAACTGATAAAGGTACTAGTTTGCTTGACATAGGACATGACTTACAGAAAATTTAGCCCCTTTTGAAGTGAACGCAGCCTTTGGGTAGAAAGCATGCATGGTTTTATTCCAAAAGCCCCTAGGTTCTAAGAGAACAAAATGATCTGCAGTAAAATTTGCCAAAAATAAGGTGAAAATGTTTTCCTACTTTCCCATAGCTCTAATAAAAACATCTCTGCTTGCAGTGATTCAAGATAATGGATAATAGACAAGGAAATACAAATTGTTCTTTGCAGCTTGAATTTGAGTTCTTACTGAAGATAATTAGATGAGAAAACCCATGGCTTTTATTATATGATGGTTACATCAGGCAGTCCTATCAGGGACAAAAATAATCTCAAAATAAGAGATGGAAAAGATCTTTTAGGTCATGCAGAAATTCTACCTGCAAGTGCAAAATTATTACTTAATGTTCATTTAACAACATTCTATTCTGTCTAGTTTTAATTGGCAGTGAGTTAAATTTTTCTTTTGTGACTACACTTGCCAGCATTCTGCGCCCACACAACCTCATGCTCTAGGGAAAAACTGGTGATGAATTCCTTTGAGTAGAATTTAGAAACCAAGATCTATCTAGGACTCGCATCAAATCCATTTGGTTTTACAGTTCCAAATAACAGTTGGAGGGAATATGGAAGCAATGGCTCTGAAAAGAGCAGTGCTGTCATTTGAAAAACTATTTTCAAGTAGACAATGTCGGGGAAAGTGCTCTGTCATAGAAAGGGATCGCTTCCTGTGCACTTATTAGAGAGGCCAGCAAAAAGAAAAGCTTTATTGCAAGAGACATTGAGCTGTGAAACTCAGTCCATTTCAAAACAGCAGTTGTAGCAAAGTGATTTTGAAAAGACTTTTTGGCCTGTGGAAGAAGACACAATCCATTTCCTACCTGCTGGTAAGGGTTGGACATCTCTTGTCCGGCATCCTTGGAACCTGACTGGTCCCAAATGAGGCAATTTGCTGGACCGGGGACGTCACCTGCTTCCAGCCTCACAGTCTGCTTCCCTTCCCTGCTGCTTGCCCTAGAAGCCCCTCTCCCTCCACCCCTCCGCTGGGCTGCAGTGCTGCTGCAGCCCTCGCAGCCCAGACTGCTGCATCCCTGGCCTCGCTACTGGGGCTGCTGCATCTCTGCTTCTGCTATCAGGGGTGCCCCGGCCCTGGCCCTGCTAGTGGGGCTGCCGCAGCCCCAGCTGAGCTATCGGGGCTCTAGCGTCAGTCCCAGCTGGCTCTGAGCCACCAGCCCTCTTGCCACTGGGTCTCCCAGCCAGGAAGTCCTGGTTTTTGGAGGTGCAACCTATACTATGGTTTCAGTTATATGAAAGAAGAAATGGGAAGGAGTTTTGTATAACACTGAGCATGTGGAACTGAGAGCCAGAACTCCTTGACTATTTCCTGTCTCTGCCACTGACTTGGTCTGTGGTCATGGGCAAACTTCCTATGTCTCAGTTTTCCCATCTGTAAAATGGGAACAATAATACTTACCTACCTCACAGGGATGTTGTGAGGCTAATTAATTATTGCTCATAGGGTGCTTTCAGATTCTTGGAGAAAGATGCAGTATAGAGAAATGCGAAAAAAGTAGTTCAACTGAATTAAAAACACCTGATTTTTGTTCATCCTTGAAGGATGTAAGTTCAGATGAAATTCAGCTCAAGAAGTAGAAATTGAAATCCTTTTAATTATGTTATACAGAGGAAAGAAGTCACTTAGGGCCTGATCTAGTTCCCACTGAAGTAAATAGAAAGACTTCACTGGGAGTTGGACCAAACCCTTACACAATTCAGAGGTCCCTTGTTTATTTTTTGTATTACTATTATTACTACTGTTTGTTATTATCAAGATACTGAGAGCTAATGGCCTGTATCCTCTACATCCTGTTCTGAACACTACAGTGCAATTATGACCAAGGTCATTTTTGACATTCTGACTGTATCGGTTGAGTACTTGTTATTCCAAGGTGTGTATGTTACCAAATAAATGAGTTTTTTGGGGAAAAAAGCCATCCAACACAGTTTGATGCTTGAATTCTGACTTTTTTTCTCTCCTTCACAGAAATCCTGCAAGAGATTATTTCTCCAAGTATTTTTTGGACGTCTTTGACATTCTTGCAAGGAAATGTTTGGTAGCTGTGCTATATCCTTTAATGGAAGGATAAATGTTTTGTATCGACTCTGCAGGGCATTAACACAGCCTGATTTTGTTCTCAGTGTTGCTCTTGACAAATTCTAAGAACCATGTTAGATGTTGGAGTTCTTCCATCATCTCCTGTCTTTAAAAAAGAGTGAATCTCAGTATGGGACTTGAGCTCTGAATGTTAAAGTATTTGTTCTGTTTTCTAACTGGTTACACTGTGTCTGTCATTTTGAATTTACTTCCACAGAAACTGAGATCAGTCTAGAAAATGTTCCATTTCTTGCAATGGGTGGTTTCTTTCGAGGAACAGTGAGGTATGTGAAGAAGGGATCCTGCTGTCTCCCAAGGGAAAGATATCTCTGTCAATGGTTTCCCGTAGTGTATGATTTTTATCAATTTCTGGAAGGAGCATTGGGATACCTCTGATCCAGTTATCTCACTGCCTCTGGAAGGGATAGGGTGGCAATATAAAAAGACCAACCTCAGAGAATCCGGCTGTTTTGGAGTGAGCAATAAGATT